CCGACGCAGCACCACAGTTTCTCTAGAAACTTACCCCCTTTATCCAAGAACAATAGACTTCGTTTGCTTGTATGGCTTATTCTCCCAACGTTGGTCATGTCTTTGTACTCTAGAGAACTCTTTCTTTCAAATTTTGCCCTATTGACGTGATTAGGTACGCATAATGCACAAAAGACAAACAGAGGTATTCCCTTGAGTCCTCCACTCAGAAAATAGCACATGCAAATAAATGACTGAAGGGGTAAGTTTCTAAAGAAACTATTGTGCTGCGTGTTTCTAAAGAAAATTCCGATGCTGCGTTAAGGGGGTTAGTTTCTGAAGAAACTGTGGTGCTGCGTCGGTGGGGGAGTATGACAAAGTAATTTGGTTTTATCAACTGAGTTAATAATGTAAATCAGCCACTGTTAAGAGTTGTGAAGATACGGAGGTGCTGCGTCGGTGGGGGAGTATAACAAGATAATTTGGTTTTATCAACTGAGTTGATGATGTAAATTGGTCACTGTAAAGAGTTACAAGCAAAAGAGGGCTTTGGCCCTTTGGGACCCATAGGCATTTCACTTGCATAAATGTGAGACTTTGATTGTTTCAGAGTCTCACAGAGCGAAAAGTATAAACAATCTTCAACTTTATCACCCATGTAACTGACTACTTTCCACATAAAAAGATGGAATAAACCCAAAAATTAGAGAAAGATGGTTTTCGTCTTGTCACCAGCGTGGTACAAAGAAAAAAATTCTGAGTTCCTAGGAGGAATCGAACCAAAGACCTTCGAATTCTGCGCTCCGATGCGTAATGAGCAGTGCCTATTACGAAGTGCATATATGACAAGCGTCCTTGGCCTTAGAAAGTTTTAGCACATCTCTTCTTTGCTACATGCCTCAGCCAGATACGTGTTCTGCATGTTCACTCTAGCCACAGTCATAAATATTCGTCGAATTTCTAGTTTTCCTGGTCAAAAATTGTCTAGTTTTATGCACCATACAAAGCCGTGCGCAGTATGAAAAACAGATACCTTGTCAGAAACTAGAGGGTGGGAAGATCGTTCGAAGGAATTTCCATCTCGTTCCAAGCTTCCCCAATTTTTTTCGCTACAGCTGAACCCCGATATTACTACATCACGGGCGACGAGCCGGAGAAGAAAAAATGTGCGAAATATGAGTCGTCATCGATGAAATAGCTGTAGTATCGCATGTAGAAACAAAACGTTTGTTGCTCCAGTAAATAATTGTGTTATAAATCATAAAATGATAACATTATATAGAATAAGAGAAATGGTAAGTTTTGAGCTCGGTGAAGAAATAAAGAAAGATGTTTTTCGTCTTGTCACGAGCGTGGGACAAAGAGAAAAATCTTTCTCTATTTCTTTACCTAGCTCAAAACCTTACCATCTCTCTTAATCTATTCACAAACATGACGCTATCGACATTGCTGATCCTAGCAGTATGCAGGACGCGCGTCATATGAACTTCGCAATAGACCTCGCTCTCCGTAGAGTCTCTGTGGCTCAGTGGTAGAGCATCGGAGCGCGGAATCTGTAGGTCTGAGGTTCGATTCCTCGTGGCGGCTCAGAATTTTCTCTTTGTCCCACACTTGTGAAGAGACGAAAAACATCTTTCACTGTTAACAGTATACTTGGCGACATAAAAAGTTAAGCAATTTTTTCAAAAGTGTTGACTTTACATATATACTTTAATGGGTGGATACAAACTTATTAAAGGCTCAAAAAATGTAAAAATCGAGAACTACATTTTTGTTGAGTTGCTTAGCTTCTCATTTTCCGGAAAAAACAGTCAAGATTACAAAATTCAAGTGGAAAGCAAGCCAACTGTGATTAATGCCTTAAACAAGCGGAGGCCGGTCAAGATACTTTTTTTTTCGTCACACAGCAAGTTAAAAACCGTAAA